AATATTATAGACATCGTGAGACTATGCCTTTTTCCGGTTTGATCGTTATAAATGGTAGGCTCTGCCTTCTTTACGATCAAATAAAAAGCTATATCTTTTCCGGATAGATCGTTATATATGGTAGGCTATGCCTCCTTTACGATCAAATAAATGGCTATGCTTTTTCCGGATCGATCGTTATATATGGTAGGTTTTACCTTCCTAACGATCAAATAAAAATTTATATTTTTCCGGATTGATCGATATATATGGTAGGCTCTGCCTCCTTCTCTACGATCAAACAAAAGCTATGCCTATTGAATTCTTAATGGAAGGCGATGCCTCCTGAATTCTTATATGAAAAGGCTATAGTCCATAAATTATTATTTTTGTGAATTTATGTGTTTAATTATTTTTTATTTATTTTATTCGTAAAGAATAAATATATGTATTATATGAGATTTAAAGACTTTGGAATAAGTCTTTAAAATCAAAAATATATTTCTCTTATGAGAATATATAAAAAGCACGTGTCAAAATATTTTTAGACAGTGCAAAATAATTGGAAGGTCTAGATGAGCTAGTCTCTCCACTTCCAAATACATCAGATTCATAATAATCGATGATTTGTGTTCTCCAAAGTCTCAAAGAAACTCGTGTAGTTTCTAAAATATTTTTCTTTATAATTATTATATTGAGACTATAAATAAATGTGGTATCGAATGTTTAACCACAATGGAGACACGCATATGTATGATTATATCATACAAAATAAAGATGGCAAAATATTTATGATAGCAAACAGAGATTTGCTAATTGCTATAATATATCATAACCGGTCAAGCCATCCCGGTAGAAAAATGCATTTGATGATAATGATCCAGATCCAGGATCCATATCAGTGCTAACAAGGGCCTGATTAAAAAAAGTGCAATATATTGAATTGCTCTTCCTTAATAAAAGAGATGTCGTTGGATCTCTTGTCACTACATCTAAATATATAAAACCTATTGGGTGCAAGTGGGTCTTCGTGCGAAAAAGTTGAAATCACACGATATAAAGCCCGACTTGTTACACAAGGTTTTTCTCAAAGACCTGGAGTTGATTATGAAGAAACATATTCTCCGGTCATGAATACAATTACATTCAGGTACACAACGAGCCTAACGGTCTCTTATCATTTAGAATTGTACCTTATGGATGTAGTGACAACATGTTTATATGGATCGTTGGATTTAGTATATACATAAAAATCCTAGAAGGATTTAAAGTTCCTGAGCCATTAGACTCAAACTTCTAATGAAATATGTACGGTCAAATTACAGCGATCACTTTACGGATTAAAACAATCCAGACACATATAATCGTTTAAGCGATTATTTATTAAAGAAAGGGTATGTTAATAATAAAATATGCCCTTGCGTCTTTATTTAAAATCTCTTTCGAGATTTGTGATCACTGCTGTATATATTGATGACCTAAATTGGAACTCGAAAAGAGTGATTAAATATCACTAAAATTTTATGTAAAGAAAGGGAAGCTTATTTAAGCACTGCATGCTTCCGTCCACATTTCAGAGGTAACATTTAATTTATGTTGAATTTATTTAAATTCATTTAAATTTATTTAAATTTTTATATTATATAAGGAGTTGGTTATATACCTTCTCCTTAAGTCTGTAGTAGGCTAAGCCTCCAGAATTATATGGTCTTTGGCCAAATCACCATTTTTCTTTGATAAGCTCATTATATAATAGTCGATTTCCGTAATATTTCTCCCAATTAAACCCCGTGTATAACCGGTCTAAAAAAAGAGAGATTCGGTCCAAGATGAATAGGATTGAAAAGCCATCATCTTGAGAAGGGGTATTACAAGTCCCACATTTTTATATGGATCTAAGATTAAATACATGATCCAGATTGGATATGTTATTGATCCTAAAGTGGGATTCAGTTCGAGATAAATGAACTCGAAGAGTTATCATCTCGAGGGGGAGAATTAAAGGAATCCCACATCGTCAGTAAATCGATAAATTTTGGTGAAGCCATATCCTAAAATTTATCACTTTGTGATAAAGTGCAACATCTAAAATGATGTTCACTCTAAAAAAGAGCTTTAAGCGAATCGTTCATAACGCAAATCCAAAAAAGATTGCAAAACGATTCATGGTGATTTAATCTCCATGTTTTTACATGGAGCATGCAATTTTGCATGTAGTAATGATTATATACAAGGCCAACGATTTATAAGAAATATTTCTCCCATGTTTTATATACATGATTGGAGATCAAATATTTCTCATTTTTAAATATACGTTATAAATGCTCCTCTGCACCGCATAAAAAAAAAATGACATCCTAAAAGGACAAAATATTGAGATGCAGGAGATGAGTCTCTGCTCTATAAATATTGAGCCATCTTTTAGAGATGTGCCTATTGCAAGATTTGCAAATCATCATGTTGATGATAAAGTTCCCCATCATTATGGGAGAATCATTGAATAGTTAAGATCTTTGAACAAATGACTACAATAAATATGAACTTAAGAGTTCAAAAGTTCAAATAGATCACTATTCATAATAAATTGTAAATCAAATACAAAAAGCTGATGGATGAGATTTCATGAAATTATTGATCCTCGTAAAAATGCATATGAACTTAAAGTTCATACGAAATCTCTTGTCCCAGCTAAAAATGCTCTATAAAAATATGTCTCTGGCGGATGACATATTATTGTCTATAACACGTAAAAGAACGTGATAGACAACTTTGGTTTCAAATATATATAAAAAAAAAAAATCCTCGGAAAAAAAGAGCATATTATTACTAAAAAGAGGATTAAACTCTTAAAAGAGGAGCATATAAACTTCTAAAGAGGAGTATAGAGACTCCTCAAGAGGAGCAAAGAGACTCCTAAAGAGGAGTAAAAAGACCGATTGGCATGGTTAAAGACGAAATCAGGTACCTGAATAAAATCATTTATAATGATTAAGAGATCTCGAATAACCATGTCATTACGGCAAATATGGAACCAAAGACAACATAATGTCGACAGTAAAAATAATCTAGTGCACAAATGAGGATCATTAATCTCTGCTCTGTGAGCGTAAAGAGATATATATTGGCCAATAAATAAAGACGCAGCCAAGTCTATATTAATCTCGTATAAGAAACGAGTAAATCTTGGACACATGGTTCAAGCATCGAAAGAGTATTATGATACTTAAGACAAGACGGTGTGTCGCACCGGATTTTGTCAAAATCACTCGATATTAAGTTGATAAATAAATGACTTGAATTGCGCCTCATGGGATGTCTGTAGGACTAATCCCTGAAAGATATATGATATCATAGTTATATTCCCGGGAACTTATAAGCATGATGTTTTTGAACATCATCAAAACTCTTAAAGAGTTATTTGGAATAAAAGATCTTGGAAAGACAAAAGTGTCTCCAGATATTCCAACTAAACATCTAAAGAAAGAGATGTTATATTAGTCACTTCTAAAGGAAGTCGACTTTATATAGTTTGATCATGAAGCACTATATATAAATGCTGACGAGTATTTATATATTTTGTGAATTGTAGCTAGCATATATAAATGCTGACGAGCATTTATATATCTTGTGAATATATTGCAATTAGCATTTGCTTCTGATCTACTTGCAGGATTAATTCATTTCCTCCGACTAGACCTTGAATGAGTTCAAATGTGTCTACCATATCTGCAAAGTACGATTAACTTGGGTTTATTTTATTCTAGAAACCCCGAGTTTGGTTTAGTTGGTTTTGCAGATGGAAGATCTATATCAGATCTATATAAATATATATCGCAAAACAACAACTTCGTGGGGTTTCCAACAACAAATTTTGGTCGTCGTTTGTTGAAGCCATGCCAAAATTATTGCGCTCCATGAAGCATATCGAGACTCTGTATGGCTCAGATTGATGCCTTCAACATATACAAGAAGCAAGCAATATAGTCACCAATGAAGAGTCAACAACAAGACACTGTTACATATGTTTCCCAACTCAAAGGAAGCTATGTCTCCAAGATTATTCTCTTGCATTCAAGAATTCGAGAAGAAGCAAGAAGTTGATGTCCAGTACATCCGGCCAAGTAACAATGTAGCAGTTTTAGTTCAAGGGTGCTGCCTGCTACGCCATTCAAAATGCATCTTTTGAAGAAGATGCTTCCAGGGGGAGACATATGATGATGAGCGTGGCTGCACTCTTTTTCCCTTATCATGGTTTTTTATCCCACTGGGTTTTTCCATGACAAGGTTTTTAACGAGGCAGCAAATAACACGCAAAAGATAGACAACAAAGTGAAAGTCTATCTCTCTTCAAAAATCTTTGTTATACATTGACGAGATCAGAAGAAGCAAAGAGAATGATCGAGATGCATCATCTACGAAACCTATGAAGAGAACAAGACTCGTCTGTTCCAGGGGGAGATTGCGTCACTGTACTCTTTTCCCCTTATCATGGTTTTTATCCTTTACGGTTTTTCCATGATAATGTTTTTAACGAGGCAGTACGCAATACGGTAATAATGATGGATAATTAAGGGGGAGTGTTATAAAATGGTAATTATCCATTACGTATAATTATCCACTTCCTCTCTTATCTATTGTTTACTTAGCATAGAAGTGGCTTGGTCACCAAGTTTTTATTCCCCTATATATATTGCTTTGTATGAAGGGTTAGAAACACACGTAGAGAGAAGTTGAGTAATAAAGCTTTCATTTCACTTTCTCTCCCTCGTTCTTCTCTCTTTCTTTTGTTTATTTTATTCTCTTTATATTATATATATATATATATTATATATATAATACTACTTCAAATATCTAGATATATATTCATCTACTTTTAGTTATTATTTATAACAGTTGAGACTATTTTTTTGCTTCGGAGTGAGAGAATTTAGATCAAATAAATAAGTAAAAAAAAAAAAAAAGATAGTGGAGTTATGGGCCTGAGTTTTGGGCCATGGATCTTCTCTCAATCACAGGTTCTATGCTAAAACAGTTCTGTATTCAAGTTACATGATTGCACCGTTTTCAGTTATTTTTTACATTTGATTCAATCTTGTAACATTTCCATGACACCAAAAGAGATCAAGAACAGAAAAAAGGAAAAGCTCATTTGTGCTATGTCGCGCAGCAACCCGATTTCTTGACGGCTGAAACATCATCTCTGCTTCCTACATTAATCATTTGTCCTTTAGGCAAAGCAGTGGTTGGATCATCTCCAGCATCAAGAGCCTTCTTGCTAACGACTCTGTAAATCTGAGTAAGAACCTCTGTGAAAGCGTTTTCTACATTTATAGCTTCGAGTGCCGAAGTCTCCATAAAGAAAGTGTTCTCTCTCTCTGCAAAATCTTTCACTTCTTCCGTAGAGATGGCTCGAAGGTGATTCAAATCAGCTTTGTTACCTACGAGCATAATCACAGTGTTTGCGTCCGTGTGGTCCCTTAGCTCCTTTAGCCATCTCTCAACGTTCTCGAATGTCACGTGCCGTGTCACGTCGTAGACTAGTAACGCACCAACGGCTCCTCGGTAATAAGCGCTCGTGATGGCTCGATACCTAATTGCAAATACTCACTAAGATAAATGGAACACATACTCGAGCAAAAGAGTGGCCAGAAATTGTTATTAAAGGTGGATTATCCGGTTTAGGTTTGACTTTTTCCGGTTCTGATTTAATAGGTTTTATGATAACTAAAACCAAAAATAGCCTACCCATATTATCAAAAAAAAAAACCAAATATTAAAAACTACTTTTAACTCGATTTGATGTAATTTTGAGTTTGTTTGGTTTAGCTTGGATTTAAGAAGGCAGTTATATATTTTTTCAATGATACAAAATTTATCTTAAGAATTTAAATAACTTCAAAGCAAACTAATTCTAACCTTTAAAGAAAAGAGAATGCTATGAAATTTAAATAAATTTCGGTTTATTTGGTATTTTGGTTCGTTTACACTAAAATGGGTGTATGTTTTAGATAATAACCAATCTGTCTATGAAATCATTTAGGTTTGATACACATGCATTTAAGCATTTGGATTTGCATTTGATTCAGTTTGGTTTATGTCCACCTATAATAGATTACCTTTCTTGGCCTGCAGTGTCCCATATCTGAGCTTTGACAATCTTGTCGTCGACTTGGATGCTACGTGTGGCAAACTCAACACCGATGGTCGAGCGTGAGTCGTGGCTAAAATCGTTTCTGGTGAATCGGGATAGTAGATTTGATTTCCCGACACCGGAATCTCCCGTTAAGACAACCTTGAAGAGGTAATCGTAATCGTCTTCAGCTTTATATGTTCCCATACCTGATCGGTACTCTTTTTGTCTTTATGACGTTCCAAGAAGTTTGGAAGACAAGGAAAACAATCCAATATCTGAAGATGGGTTTTGTTATATTTTTTTGGTGGGTTTCTATTTTTTCTTTTAACGTTTTGTAAATTAGAGAAGAGACAAATGTTGAATTTCAGAAGAAGAGATAGAGAGGATTCAGATAATCAAGGATTATCCTCTATTTTACTGGTCATATTCATTTTGGGATAATCTAAATATATATCTCAAGATTGATCTCCCGAAGTTTACTATAATCTTTTTGTGTGATGATCTTTGTTTAGGTTTTCTATAGTTTATTTTTCTTTAAATGTGTCCTTTAACTATGCAATATATATTTTCTAACGAAATTTAACATTTTGACTAAAACGAGATCACTATAGCAAAAAAATCCACAACCTAAACTTGTCCGAAACATTTAAAGTTTTGGTTCACTTAATGGATTCAAAGTTGTCTATATACACTGTAAATAAAATAATGATGTATGGTCACATTTGCTCATACATCATGGGATTCTGATATCTCAAGTTAGTCTTTAGTGGCCACAGATCCAATTCTTTTGATTACAATCAAATGGTTAAGATTTACCATGGCCACAACAATATTTTTTCCACCGTCAATCTTTTTTGCTCCATCATGCTCCGTGTCTTGGTACATTGTCAACTTGGTTAATGCCGCTAGTCCGAGACCAGACAACATCGCACCAGAAATGTTCAACGAGAGCGCTTTTGAGGAGTTTTAGTGTGGGAACATTCAAGATAAAGAGCCTCTCAATTATTAATACTTCAACGTCTCGTGTCCTGATTATTTGGTTCCTACAATAAAAAAATCACCCCTAAAATTTTCTAGATATCAACCACAGATACTGCAAACTATGTCAATATCGCATTGCTATTAAGATACATAAGGGTTTTAATTTGGAAAATCTTAAAAATAGTACTCCAATATCCGTATGAAAATATAAGATGTTTTAGATATTTTTATTTGTTTCATATTAATGTTTTGCAATTTTCTATGCAAATTTTAATATATATTTATATAATAGCTTGTGACAATATTTTTAAATAAATATCATTCATATTTTTCAAAAAACACAAATTATCTAAATATTTATGTCTTTATCTTAAATATCTTATATTTTGAAACGGATGGAGTAGTATATTTGATAGATCTTTAAACCTCAATAACTGCAGTCTTTGTTACGTTTAAGTAAGTACACTTTACTAGATTTTGTAATATAGTGGTTTTTACTAGTGAATATTGTAATATCATATCAAAATTCAAGAATGATTTTGAGGCTAACGAGGTGAAACCGTCACTACTAAAAAATATTTAAGTTATTTTTGTACAAATTTAAATGTTATAAAATATCTAAAAAGTAAAGGAAATTACTGAAAAAGCAAGATAAAAATGGCTATAATATGTTTATGGCTATGGATGGTTTCTTTGAAAAGAGAACAAAAAAGAGCAATTAATAAACTTTAAATAGTTTTCTGATTTTCTCTATAATTTTTTGACAATTTCAATTAATTTGTTTCTTAAGTATATTGTTTATTTTCAATTGAAATGATCTAATTGTGATAAACGAATTTGTTGATACAAACGCAAAGGTGATTATTATTTTTTGATATTTGAAATTAATAACTTAATATTTTAATACGGTTAACAAATTGAAAATGAGAATTTTTTTTTAATATTCAAGCAAGATATACATTAGAATTGGCCTTGTCCCAATTCATACATAATAGTAACTAATTACTTTGAATGAAAAGGACCTCACATTTATTAGAGTGTAGTTTATGATAAAAAAGAAAATCCTTAAATCATTAGAGTCTCACCTACGAGTCTACAACTGACTATACGCGAGGCTACAAGATACTGCAACATGAGATCTAGTTGTAGATTCATAAATGTTATCCTTGATTATTCACAACATCTCGCTTGCATTACAAGAGATCTAAATCATCGTAGATTTATCAATTTAACAACGTAGGCTTTAGAAAAAAAGAGGCAAAAATGAGAGAGAGAGAGAGGAGAGAGTGAACATGGAGTGAGTGTCATATGAATATGATTCATCATGATGAGGAGAAAGAGTTAAGATACTGTTGTGTCAGTTTTGGACGTAAGAGAAAAGTTTGTCCCACTTGTTGGTGAATCCACAGTTCCTCTGGTCAACACACTCTTCTGAACCTATTTTTTTGTTTGTCTCTTTGTTAGCTTTCTATTTTTTCTTTCTTGTCACTTCATAGATTTCTATTTACACTCTTTAATCTCATTTATTTTCGTGATAACTTCTAAATTGCGATCGTAATTTTCTACTTTAATTTGGAAAAAGGCCAATAGTTCCTTTTTAAACACAACAATATAGATTTGGTTCCGTTATGATATTATTATGTTACTATACATAGATTTTTAACTATTAAGTGCACACGGCAGCATAGACAGTGACTACAATTTGTCGATACGGGACAATCGAATGTCCAAACTTAGGGCCTGATTGGTTCCGGCTGTAGCTGTAGATTTTTGACTGTAGATTTTAGGCCGTAGATGTTTTGGATGTGACTGTAGATTTTAGTGCTGTAGTATTTTTGCTGTAACATTTAAAATTTTGGAAAGTTGAAAATTGTATGCTTTAGAAAAAAAGGCTTTCTACAGCCAAAAAAATTAATTATGGAAATATTTTGGCTGTGAGAAAAAAAGGAAAGCTAAAGCTTCTAAAGCTTGATTGGATCTATTTCAATGCTTTAGAAAATTTTTTGCTTTGTAAAGACTCTAAAGCACTTGCCAATCAGGTCCATAATAACTAATTCTTAAGGCCTAATATGTTGCATTGTGGTAAACTATGTGTGATATGGCATAGCATGATGACTTATTATCAATAATATACAGTGATAAATTAATTATGTGTGAACATTGCTTAAGTTTCTGGTTTTAATTATGAATATATACAGTAAGAAAATGGGTGCAAATTAAATGTTGTTTTGTAGATAAAAGAAGATAATATAAGCATGGGTAAAGATATTGTCAAAGCGACAAGATGAAGGAAACAGTCAAACAGTAGAAAGTAGGACTGTAGGACCATGTTTTTATTGAGAAACATTTGTGTGATTTGATATTACATTTTTATTATGCTCTTTTGACATCTGATTTGATCTAACGAAGCCCCTCTACCTAGCTAGACCTTCTTTGCCTTCAACTACAATTATTTACTAATGTTTTATTCTCTTTAATCCCCTTGAATACTCCATAACATAACACTGCAGCAAGAAAAGAAAAAAAAAACATTGCAGGAAGTTAATTATTATCAACTGACTGTCAAAACTCAAAAACTCTGTTTCCTAACTTTTAATATCATGAATTGAGAGTTAAAACTTCAAAGCAAAGGATATTATCAACTGACTGTCAAAAACTCTGTTTCCTAAGTTTAATACGTTACTTATTTTTTTTTTATAAAAAAATACTTGTTTTCTTATCATGGAAAATATTCAGATTATATATTATTAACTCTGAATTCAGATTATACAAAAATTGATAGCGTTGCTATGAATATCAATTATTGTTAAATAGTATAATTTCAATAAAAATGAATTGTTTTTTTTTCTTTTCAAAACTTGATTTCATGCATTGTGAAGTTCAAAGCAGTATGTACTAATTTTATCTAAATAACTGAAACAATTTTTATTTGCACTAACATCATTCCACGCATTAAAAAAAAAAAACTAAATCATCTTTAAACTCAAAACTTTTCCTACATTTTAAATATAAATAGTAAGATATTAATAGAATACATATTTATTAATTGTTTTTTTTTTTGTGAAAAATGGGTGAACGACTTATAGTTTATAACTAATAATAAAAATAATTATTATTTGGGAGGGATTAGGTATAGACGTATAGTATAATAATTATATATACTAATGTAACGTTTTAATCCCCGGGATTAAAGTGAAATATCACCTCACGTGAACTGCAGTCAAAGTTCCCTACTTCCCGCAAGTAAACCTTACATCACAGTCTAAACACTAAACATATATAACGCATGACCTAATTTACTTTCACATTGGATGATGTGATGCTTCTATATTACTCATCCCCATATTAGCGCATTGTTTAACAATTCCACATATCTATAATTAATATTCAGATGGAGAAACAAAAACATTATAGATTCTTGAAATAAGAATGAAACACACAACATATATTGGTCAACAATCTAACGAGAGAGTTTTGTGAATGTTGTCTGAAACTCATACATCAACACGGTCACAACAAGTAACTGAAACCAATACTTTATAAAATCTTAACATTTAAGCCTACGTACGAGAGATGGTGAAAGAAAGAGACAGGTCTTAATTTCTTCTTCGAACTCGAATCTCCCACACGACTAGATCTGCAAAAGCAGAAAAGAGACTTCGAAAATTAACCACATAAATAATTATATATTTATATACACACACATGCAGGCACATCCTCCGAAATATGGTAGTGTTAGAATTTATACTACTAAAGTCAAAAACACGAAGGCCAAAAAAAGAAAAAAAAAACCAATGAATGCTCTAAAGAACCGCAAGGTGTGTGTGTAATTAAATTAGGTTGAGTCAACATTGTTGACCTAAGCCAAACAACATGTCTCTCGCATGCATTTATCCATTTTAGATCCCAATGAAGAAATAAACTACTACTAATATAGATCTATAAACTATAATTATATAGCCATTAAACAACTATTCATTTTACTATAGTTTATTTAACCGATAGAGTAGTATCTAGCTATAGTGAAGTGAATGTAAACCTTAATCAGTATAACAAAGGAAAATAGAGAGGAGACAAAACCAGATAGTATGAGGCTCCGTGTTGAAGTGGGTGAAGAGCGACGCCATATTCATCGGTGACAATGGGCTGACCCGCGGAATTAATGAGAACGACCTCTTCCCCAAATGCATCCCTCACATTGAACGGTCCCGAGCTCACTTCAAGCTCCATTTCATTGATAAAAACCCTTATTCTCGCACCCGCTGCTGTCGATTCAGCCATTGTTATCCCATTATTTCATGTTAGTATATATTATAATGACTATATATGTTAACAATCTTCTATAAAACAAACATGTAAACCCCAAACAATATATTTTTAAAAAATAGAGAGAGGGTATAGAAATAAAGAATCAATTACAGACTACTAAACATGAAGGTTTTTAAAAAGATTTGTCTTGATCAATGTGTCCCTTCCATTGTTGACACACAATTAATGTATCTATAGTGTTGAGTAAAATTTAAACATATAGTATAAGTAATAACTTAAAAAGGGTGATAACTTTATATATCAACATACCTTGAACTTGAAGCTGGTCCGAAGTTGATGGGACGGTAGCGAGAGAATGCGAAGTAGTAATAGTGGTAGTAGTAGATGTAGTGGGAGGAATATGAAGCATGATGTGATTGTTGTTGTTGTAAGAGGCTATTTGTTGATTAGTAGTAGCGTAACAAATCTGAGGCTGTGGCTGTTGCAACATCTTCATCCTCATTTCTTCAACTTCTTTCTCACTCAAGTGTTGTTGATGATGAGTTCCATAACTCACACTACCGTTCATGATCTCACTCAGCAGGAGTCCGGTACACGTTGGAGCCGGTTTTTGTTGCTCGATCATGTCACCGGAGAGAAACCCTAATTGGGATGAGACGGTGTTACCTTCAAACCCTCCAACTGTGGAAACCGGAAAGAGAAACGCCGATTCTGGTGGAAACATCCCCATCATTTGACTACCACCCAAAGAGAGATTAGTGTCGTTCTTGTTCTTGTTTTTTCGGGGTTTGGTGGATTTGGAAGAGGAAGAGGAGGAGGAAGACGAAGAGGAAGCCGAAGGTTGCGGCTGCGGTTGCGGTTGAGGGAGAGAGTGTTTGGAGTGGTTGTGGAGGAGGCGGAGTTTGTGTTTGCTACGGGACTTACGGTTTTGGAACCAATAGAAGACGTTAGCGTCACCGACTTGGCCGTATTCTTGAAGCTGAGCCCTAATCCTCCTGATCTCCTCTCTCGGAGGATTCACCATCCCTGAGTTAAAGATTGCTTCAAGAATCCGAATCTGCTCTGGTTTTGGATTCCATCTTGGTTTTGGCTCTGGACTCCTCTCCACTTCACATCCTAAAAAAATTCACAATCTCATCAGATTAGAATTCTCTAAAACAAAATTTAGTTTTCAATTGGTAAATATGTTAACAGTATAAGGACCTGAAGAGAAGGGAGAAGATCGGTGAGAAGCAGAAGGCAAGAGAGGAGAGTTGATGTCATGTTGCCATTGATGGGGATGAGGTTTGGACTTGAACATGCTTGGCCAGTGTCTATTCGAAGAAGCCATAACTAATTAACTCGATCCGAAGAACACAGATGTATGTGTATGCATATGATGATGATTGATGTTGAATGATGATGTGATGATGATGTGATGTGTCAAAAAGAGAGGAGGAAGAGACAGGGAACAGAATGGCTAAATGGGAAGATAATAAAAATGTGAATAGGGCAAAAGGGTTACGACCTCTTTCTCTCCCTCTTATAGCCTCTCTTCACCTACCCAACCTGTTTACATATATTCATCTCTTTTACATAACCATTTAATTTAAAGTCTCACCCATATTTGATATTTCTATACACCACTTCTCTTGCTCTCTCTCTGTATATATATATGTATCTATCTATGTATTTCTTTATTTCACCCGTATATATGTATTTATATAATTATATGTGTATATTTTTAGTAAAGACAAAAAAACTTTCAATTTTATAAACTATGACTACTTCTCTTGCTTTAGGAAGCAAATGAATTAGAGAAATAAGGTAAATCCCATAAACATAAATGTTATAAAAGAAAATAGGACACTGTTTTCATTACGTTTTATTATCAACTACTTCAGTCAAACAGTATGATTTAGTTGCATTAAATAGTTTTGAACAAAAAAAAATTGCATTTTAAAAAGTAAATATAATTTATTAATTCTGTAGAAGGTCTTTGATCGGTTATGAGGAGCACTTTGACAATTTTGATTTGAATCCAGTTTTGCTTGTCATGGTTTAATTATGATAGAATAAAAATTGTTTTAGGGGTTAGTTTCCTGGAAAAATGTGAGAGGCAAGGTTAATATTACGTCAAAATATAAATGTGCTAGTCGACGAGTAGTCTATATTGCTATAACGTTAAATCACTGATGGATTGACCAATACTTCAATAACAAATACTAGAAGACAATTTTGGAAATCCTAAATGTCTTCAACAGTCATTTGATTAGTTGTATCATGAGCGTTTTTTAGCCTCACAAACAAATAGAAAACCGCATGCATTCACACTTTCTAATAAACCACTGTGAAACTCCAAAGGAGCTTCATTGGAATTAGCCGCAAACCATATCAATCTCACACACAAATGAGGACATTGATATAGGCATATAGCCTATCGGGCTTTCGACAAAAAAAAAAAAAAAAAAAAGCCTATCGGGCCTGTGGCGAATGCTTAATACCATTAAATACTTTTATCATTTGTGTTTTTTTTTCATATATATATATATATATATCACAAAATCCAAAATCTATGAAAAACTGAGAAACTAGTTTATATAGATTTCTAGAGTGAGTACTGAATTAATCATTAGATATATTAAAAATATTAAGTATTTATTATAAGAAATTATTTTAGCAATTTCAAAAAGGTTACCATACAAGTCATCTTTATTCTTTACAAGGGTATTTGAAGGGCAATACTAATTTTAAAATCAAATAAATAAATTAAAATTTTTAATTAGAGCAGTACAAATTTTGGGTTAACTCCATCCAATTTTGCATGGTATTTTATACGTTTGATTGTTATTCACAATCCTAATATCAATTTCTGAAATATAAAACAGTAAGAGACCGGAAGAAACTCAAAGTGATCATAAATGCAACCCCATGCCTCTCTTCCTTACAGTTCTTGCATTAAACTCCAAACTGCTTCTGCAGTTCAAACGTACGAACACATATTTCTTCAGAAATTGAAACAACAGATTCTTTGAAAGTGATTCATGTTTGGTTCTGAACTAGGATTTTTTCTCCTTTTTATTATTTTCTCTTCTGACATCTCAAAAAACATTAATTAGAACAAGACAGAAAGATTGTAATTTTTCTTCTTTCCTCACTTTTTATTTTGTTGTAGAGATATTTATTAAGATGGGTTTTTTTTTTTTTTTTTTTTCTTGTATTACAAAAAATAAAATCATATATGTAGGTTCTGGATTTTCAGTCTGTGCAGAAGAGGATTCTCTCGGTCACCTTCGGGGCTTCGGCCTTAAATTCGGATGGGGAGCAAATGGTTTGTTTGGACGTGGGAATAGTCATAATCAAATTTACCAAACACGATTTTAGGAGTTTTGTGATGTAATAGTACGGAAAAAGGAAACAAGTATTAATGGGAAAAAAAAACGAAATTTTAAGAGGTCAGGATGGGTGGTGGTGTATAGTAATTGCAAAGAAATTAAGGTCGTTTTTTTTTTGGATTGACTCGAGGGTCTTTGTTGATGATCGTTCCCTTTAATAATGCATTAATACTTCTTCATTTTCTTTTGAAATGTTAAGATTCTTTTCGTCTGCATTTATTTGAAAGATAAACTAAATGCGAGCTTTATTTCAAAGATTAACAATTGTATGGACCAATGTTAAACAGGGAGTAGATTATAACTTTGGGTATAGATAGTTAATAAATCAAAACAATATGTGGCATCTCCATCTCCTACAGTGTTAAATAAATCTGTAAGTAACATAGCAAATTCTCGTTCCAAGGACTGGTCCAAGATTATTAAAGATTCCAAAGCAAAACAAAATTTGGTCTTATTTTTAAGCAAATAATAAAAATATTTTAGTTGTATGGATGGATAATGAAGGGAAATACTTTCATTATATAGTACTATTTTTTTTCTTGAATTAAAAAATAGAATTAATGTTGAGCTGTTTTGGTGCTCGGGCCTTTGCAGCTTAACTTCGGCTGATGAATCAGGAAATGGCGATCAATGCAACCGTTTAAATATCTATATTTCCCCTCTATTCTCATGAAACAATAAACAATTCTTTTTATTTAACAAAACAATAAACAATTCGATGTACATACTAGAATTTTTTCAAGTAATTTACTAACGATCTTATACAAAGATGGGTATTGGTAAATGTTTTATGAGTTTTAAAGGCTATTGGATTGGATTTGTACTTTACCCATCTTTTCATCTATAACAGAGGCACACTCTCTGAATTCTTCATATGTTGAGGTACATTTATACGTTTGCTTAGGGTATACAATTTATTTTCTTTCAGTTTTATTAGAAAAATAATATTGGCGTCATGGAGGAACCCTAGATTTCAGTGGGATGTTCAAACAGCAATCAATTGACATGTGTTTTACATATTGGGACCACTACAAGCGAATGAAAACCTTAAAAGCTCAACAAAGTACATCCAATATTTTGGAAAATAATGGTATTTTATTTGTACCCAAGAAATTCCACAACTTAATTAACGCAAGATGTTTGATCAAAAAAAAAGAAAAAAATTAACGCAAGATGAATAAAACATGTTAAATAACTTCATAGTCAGAGTTTGAATGCAACAGTTTAAAGATCTTAGAAATACTTGTTAATGTTGAGTTAACAATGGTTTATGTTTATGTTTTTGCTTTATAAACAAACTTGTAAGATCTCTTTTAAATTAGCGTCAACAATATATATCTTTGCCTCATAGATATATATGTCGTACATGTTATGTTAGAAGCAATTATTTGGGGGGTGGGGGAGTGATGGATGAGTGATCCATACCGAATGGTACTGAAGCGATAAGTGTTTGTTGATTTTTTAAATAAGATGGAGTTTTAAAAGTTTTCTATTTTTGTTTTCATCTTCCTTCTGGATTCAATCTTTTGCTTCTCATGCTACAATCAATTTGTCCCTAACCAAAAATGTCAATAAATTGTACGATCACTTCAATGCACTAATATATGTAGTTTATTAGCTAGCTTGAAAGCTGATATTACCTCAATTGAGTATTTCCCAACATTTGAAGTTTGCTTTATATAATCGTCATTTTTGAAACTATTGTTAGTTAATTACATTTCATATTAGCTTTCTAGGTTCCGATAAATAAATATATATATATATATATATATATATCATTTATGATATACAATTAATTAGCATATATTATATATGTATGGCTAGATACACGACCAACAAAAGACTTCTTTTACTGAATTGAGTTTAATACTTAGTAATTATTATAACTAGATAAACGCATTTCTTTATCTATAAGAATATACATATATAATTCTATAGCCTATCATTATATTATATGGTGCGAACTATGCATTAAATGAAAGGTACATAAAGAGGGAGCAAGAGAAATGGGTTATAGGAAAGAGGTTGTAAGTTTGTAAGCTAAAATTGCGCTCATTTTTTGCAGTCTCACTAAATGCTCACATTAGTAAATACACCATCATGCCTTCTCTTCAATGACCTAAGTTCCCTTCACATGCAATTTCCCCATTTTCCATTATATTTTTGTTTTTGTTATCCTTATCTTTGTTTATTATTGTATCATGATCATTTTTATGAATGTACTAATGTGACTTGATTTAAAACTATACTATATAATTTAAATAATAGTTTACATAGCGCATACACTAATCTAGTTCCTATAAAAAATGAAACGCCAAGTACATGCTAAGCCGTGCGTAGATTTCAGGAAATTAAAAAATGTGATTCTCTCACTTTAATTGTTTGTGAGTAGTATAACTTATCTTCAAACCATGATGCTTATCCTCAAAAGAAGTTGTTACAATTCTTCATTCGATGAGAAACCACTTGTTGTTCCATGAATTGTTTAAATTGATCGCAACCATATACATTTGTGAATTTCCAAAAAGCTTGCATGATTATACCATGTGAGACAAGCCTTCGATTTTGGCCTACATAACTAGGCCGAGCAGGTCGGTCGGAAGATCAAGTTTGATTGAACAACTTGAAAAACGAATCCTCTGCTTTGGCTGCTATTGACAACATTGTCTCACTGAGCAGCAGTGTCTTTGTACCTTCTCATGGAGGAAACATGGGCCGTCCTGGCCTGGCTATATCATATATCGCCTTCACTCGGTCACATAGATGGTGGTGGATGGTAGAGGACATCACAGAGATGGTCATCACGATGTTCTCGGCGGTTACCTTATATTTATATATAAAACAGTCATGTTCCCATGATTAAATGGACCATGTAATTGATACTATGAACTTTAAAGTAGTGAGTTTTATGATAATTTGCTTACCAGACTCGATTCTATATAATACTATAGGATTTTACGTATTTTTCGTACACTTAGTTAATGTGGTTAAGGAGAAATTAAGCGCGCAATGTTCTTAAATTTGCAAAATTTTATACAAA